GCATTACAACCGACCTGCACATGAATAAAAACAGCATAAATCATAACACATATTGCAAAAGGAGGAGGAGGAGGTAAAAAAAAGGCCAAACAAACAAGGTGGGACCACTTGATGCTAGTAAACAGATTCATAATTGAACATCCGAGATGGAAGGAAGGATGGTTAAATGTGACTTAAGCCTGAAGCCAGGTTTATGAATTAAAAGCAAGAGAGAAAAAGTGCCTTTTTAGGCATGATTTCGAAACAGCGATAGAATGCGCTTGCCTAACCTGGAGGAGGAAAATATGTTGTTTTCACTGCAAAACGTTCTAAATATTCTTATTATGATCCATATCAACATTTACCTTTATGCTATTTGTTGCTACACTTGCACTACAGTTCCTCCACATTTATTCTTGATGTTCTTTTAGAAAAGTGTGTTCTCTCTAGTCCTTTATGCACTAGAGACCCCCACAATCTTCACCTCATTCAGGAAGTTGTGTTGCATCCAAGTCAGAGATTTAGGAAGGCATGAAAAGCTAGTGTCTTGCCATTATTTCCACTAATTTGTCCAAAAATCCCTTAATTGGCAATGTCAACTAAAATGTTGTTAAAGTGCCTTATGTAAAGATAAAATATAAATACTATTGAGATGGTTACTGGATGTCCCCCTTGTGTGCATCTTGTCCATCAGGGTCAACCGACTGTATCTGCTTTGCCACTGTGGGAACAAATGATCCAGTTACTTCTGCGTTACACATCATCGTTGGTAAGTGGAGGCCACCAACTGTAATCTCTAGTTGGTTCTTTCTATTTTCCTCATTTCTCAGATGTTCCTTATCAGGTGTTTTCAGTGTTTTGCAGGCATCAACAGGATCATTGAACAATTGTTTTGACATCTGGTTTTAGTTGAATCTTTGTTGCAATTTCAAGTAATCAAATGGTTTCTCCCTTGGGTTTGACTTACAAGGTGATAACCAACCAATGGACGTATGCTCCATTCACCACAAGGGACACCTTCCCTCAGATACTCGGTCTCGTTGCTCGGTTACGGTTTCTATGGAGATTTACTGGCAGACAGCGAAAAGAAGAGATGGCTCGGTCCTGCCAGATATGACCTGTCAGGTATGTGAGCTATTACCTTTACAATAACCCTACCTTTACCCTCTAACCCACAGGTGTTAAACTCCGGTCATCTAGGGTCGCTGTTCCACATGTTTTAGTGTTTTCCCTGTTTTAACACACCTGATTTCGATTAGCTGGTGATTAACCGGCTTGAGGAGAGCTTGATGAGCTGCTGAACAGGTGAGAAAAGATGCAGGACACTGGCCCTCGAGGACTGGAGTTTGACACCCCCTGCTCTAACCTGTTTGTGTATATGCTTGTCTTACTGGAGGTTACTGACCTTGCACTTGCCGTGCGTTATTTTAAATCTTGCTGGTGCAGCTCTGGATGCAGAGTGGAGGATTAAACAGATAAATTCAGGCCAGGCTTCACCACAAGCCTTCTCACATACAAACCTCTACAAAACCCCCTACAGTCATAACAAAAATAATAATAAAAGCAAGATATTAAATCAAGTGAAATAAAATTGGGGCCTACTAAACAGAACATCAACTCAGTGCCAAAGGTTTGAAGCAAGCGGAAACATCAAAGTGTGTATTTAATAACTGCAACTGCATATCAAACAAAGTTATTAAGTTGCTCTGAGACACTAAAGTTTACAGTACTTAGTTATAACATATGAAAGTTTATTGAATGAAATAAATATAACATAGTAGTAGGTGGTTAACTATGTCCGAAATGAATGTTCTTTAACAAAAAATGGAAAATTCTTGACAGATTATTGCTAACTATACATATAAATAACATATCTTGCAAAGTATATTAGCGCCATTGATAGATTAGCTTGTTAGCAAAGGGTTGAGTCATTCATGAGCAGTTCTGTCAGCTGAGCAGAAAGTGTTGCCAATTTAGCGACTTTGTCACTGTTTTGAACAATTTTCCGGTCCTCTGCGATTATTTGTAATAAGTCAACTAGCAACTCATCTGTCTTCTTTTTCCACTGTAGGAGATTTTTGGAGACTTTGATATGAAAGTAGTTTCACGAAGGGTGGAAATGAAAACTTATCTAAAAGTCTGATTTTGGCCTTTTGAATAGTAAAACTGAAGACCCGTGCAATATATGATGCTACACATAAAATATGATGTAATGCACTTTAGAGATTATTTGTTTTTAACAGTGATTCTCCCATTCCATACCCTGGCTATTCATCCTATATATGTAAATATATAGCCTGGCCACCACCCGTAGATGGAGCCCAGCCGTAAGAGTGGCATCTTAATTGTACAGCCCAGAGCAACGAAGAGCATGTTGTATTCATCTCTCCATAAATCATTCAATGGGGCAATCCACCATACAGCATCGAAGAAGAAGAATAATCCTTTTTTGAAATAAAGGGCTTAGGTACGTCTATTTGATCATGTCCAAAGAAAAGCACAAGTGTAAACCATCCAAAATTAATGCCAAAGGCGTTTAAAACGAGCACCACTTTTGAACCAATGCCTAAGCCCACCCAGCAGCTCTCTACAAACATGGAGCGCTGTGACTGGATGGACTTAAAACTGTTTAGGCCAATGGCAGACCTGCTAAGTTTACAAGAGTGCGTGGCTAGACCAACCTTCAGAGTAAAACCTTTTGCTTCTACCAGGGTTTGTCTAGATTTCTAGGCTACCCACACCACTGATTTGTGTGGAAATGCTATAATCACTGAATAAGCCCAACACGGTGTGGAGTCATTGGACATCCTTACTGGGATTTTTCATGTCCTATTTTAAAGACGGACTGCACACCATCAGCAGGGCCGGATTTAGGAGGATGTGGGCCCATGGGCTTCAGTCAATTTAGGTGGCCCCTTTTTTCAAAATTGTTGCATAGACGCACGCACGCACGCACACACACACACACACACACACACACACACACACACACTTATAATTTTACTATATTATTTTAAGGACTACAAATTGAAACTTTTTTTTAGATCACACATCTTTAATAAACCAATTCACACACACTACAATAATCCTTGAATGAATAGATTTGCATTTTATAGAAAGAAAACGTTATTTCAACTTTGGCTTCTAAAAGCTGTGTGAATCAATAACCTAACATTAGGTCGTCATTTAAACATTGAACATTTTAATACAATTCAAACTCTGCTTTTGCTGTCAAATAAATTACTTTAACAAAAATAAACAAAAGGCAAAAGCACACTTATCTGCCACTAAGATAGAAGACTGTGCTCAAAGCTGTATGGCTCTCTATGGGAAGAAATTTAAGAAAGCGTTCCTGGGAGTTCCCTTCAGGTGACACATATCTCAGAATAAATGTTAACTGATCAAGGTGGGAAACATCTGGTGTGGTGGAGTCAGCAGAGATCGAATAGTATTTGGCCATGTTTACTTCACCAACTATTTCAGACAGAACACGATCACCCATCAGTTGAACAAACTCTTCACATATTTTAGAAGAAAGATATGAAGATGTCCCTGCACCTGCATTTCCATATTTCTCTATGTGAGACTTCAAAAAGGGATCAAACTCGCTGATTAACTCCAGAAGGCCCAGGTAATTACCATTATCAGTCCTGCCAAAAACATGACTAGATCCTCTAAGAGCAAGTCCTCTCTCTGCCAAAAACTTCACAACAGACACAACTCTTCTCAAAACTTCAGTCCAATATGCACTCTCAGATTCAAATTGTTTTTCCAGCTCTGTATCTATCCTTCCAGCAGCTGACCCAAATGTGATATATGTTAGCATAGCTTTTCTGTGATGTTCACTGTTTTCATGCTCTTTCATCCAGTTTGTGGCATGTTTCCAGCTGAAACCAGTTTCAAAGTACGATTTGCTTTTAGCATCACTGAAAATGCAGCATGCAAAACAAAACATAGCTCCGGTAGATGGAGAGTAAAGCAGCCACTGTCTTTGGACATACTCACCATTGGCGAGTCTGCGTTTAAAGTGCGATCTGGAGAAGAACCGCTTCTGCTGTTTGTACACTCGTTCGGACGCTTTAAAATTTACGTGCATGTGCTGGCAGCTCTGCGGTCATCGCTCAGCCCAGTAGGCACGCACAGATGCATCACATTTTCCCCAGCAAGCTGGATCCGTACTGTAACAAGGTTCATCCAAAGTTTCAATCCGTGGCCCAGATGCACTTTCGGTCGCCAGTTTTCCACAATCACTCTCCGATGGGAAAAGATAATCCATGGAGGACGTGGTGGTCTCAGATGCCTCCAGGTCGAGCGTCTCTGCTGCCGGAACATCCACCGCGGATTCAGCCGCCAATTTTCCACAATCACTCTCTGACAGGAAAAGATCATTCGTGTTGTTGGACGTGGTCTCAGCAGGTGCCGTCTGCGTCGCCGCATACAGGGGTATGTCAGGCTGCAAACGCCCGCCGTGATGTAAGAAGTGTGAGAAAACTTGGACCAGTTGTAAGCAGTCATGACAGATGTTTGCCAAAACAAATCCCAGTGCTTCTCAGCTAAATGGTAGCATCTTGTTAGAGAATTACTGTCATGACTCCCATCCTTCACCCTCCTCCACTTCCTCATTATACCTTCATTCAGCTCACCTGGTTCCTCTCACCAAGCTCCAGCCAAGCCCTGCTTTCCCCAGCAACCTCTGTCAGCTTCAATCAGCTCCATTCATTCCACCTGCTCCTGTAATCAGCCTCATCCCATTCACCTGCTTCCCCTGCTATAAAAGAACCAGCCATCCAGTCAACAGATGCCAGATTATTACAGCCTTGCCAGTAGTTCTCCAGCCATCCACCCTGCCTGATCTTTGCCTCTGGACCCTGTTTTTTGCCTGACCCCTGCCTTGCTCTCTGCCTGCCACTTTGACCTTAGCCTGCCTCTGAACCTGCCTCAGCCTTGCCCTCCAGGTACCTCTGCTTTAAATAAAGACTTTTTTATATATATTTTTACTGTGTTGGTGTCTTCACGGGTCTTCTGAACTCGGTTCCTGACAATTACATACAAAAATAAAAATGCTTTGTGGACCGAGGGCGGGGCCTCCAGCACGCAGGGGCCCAGGGCTGTAGCCCAGATAAGCCCATGCGAAAGTCCGGGGGTGACCATCAGTGTCAGTGCGCCCCAGGGCAGCTGTGGCTACATTGCAGCTCATCACCATCAGTGTGTGTGTGTGTGTGTGTGTGTGTGTGTGTGTGTGAATGGATGAATGATACACTGTAGTGTAAAGCGCTTTGGAGTCCTTACTCTGAGAGGCGCTATACAAGTGCGGGTCATTTATCAAAAAATGTAACTCCACCCCTAGCCAAGATTTGAAAAATGCTATGAAAGTGGGCGTTGCCAACCCAGCCCCACCCCAGCAGAATATCTATGCCCATCCCTGCATTTGCACAACTTCCAGAATATATAAGACATAGGACATCCAGGCAAGGTTGGGTCCTCCCCCTCCTGGACCTCCCCCTCCCCTGTGATGGAACATCAGAGGAGCCAAGGTCTACCCGAGGCCCCTGAACCTGGACTGCTGCATGTTCCTGCCATCTTCCCGGCAGCATACGTGTCAGGACCCGACCCCAAGGCCCTGCCCAGATCCCCACAAGGGGCTGGCCACCTCCACACCCGAGCTCCCGGGCCCCCACCCAGACCCGCCCAGGGGCATTGCAGCTGCCAGGCGGTAACCCATGGCCGCCACCAAGACCTCCAAGGGGCCCCACTCACAACCGCCAGCAGTCCACCCCCCGAGGCAACCCAAGCACCTCCAGAGGGGGGCAACGGCCCCCTAGTCCCAGACACCCCCAGTGAACGCACCTCCAGGGAACATCCGGATACTCCAAACTCAGACACCCCCCCTCCCTCCCCCCCCCCCCATCATCCCGCAGGACAACATCAACGGTCCCCCATCATCGCTATGTGATGAAACCGATCAAAGGAGCAACAGAGAGATTGATTTAAAGTGGAAGCAGAGGCTGTATCAAGTGTAATATGATCTAACAAAAGATTTCTATACTGGTTAATGCAGAGAGTTTCTCTATTTTTCCAATTTATGAGGATAGTTTTCCTAGCGATGCATATGGCAGTCAGAACCACATGAACCAAAGATGTTTCAATCAGGACATCGTCCAGGTTTCCCAGTAAACAAAGAGAGGGAGAAGTTGGGATATGACATTTCAGACGTTTTGGCAGATCCTCACGTACTCTACCCCAAAATTCCTGGACAGGTGGACAGGACCACAGTGCGTGTATGTAATTGTCAGGAATGTTGTTTGTGCAGTGTGTACACGTGTCAGATGATACAAACCCCATCTTGAACATCCGATGACCTGTATAGTGTACTCTGTGTAGAATTTTGTACTGAATTAGTTGTAAATTGGGGTGTCTGATCATTTTAAAAGTTTTTAAACAAGTTTGGGACCAGAAGTTCTGGTCAAAGCTGACTGAGAGATCCACCTCCCATTTTTCAATAGGGATTGCTATTCTATTGTCTATTTTGGACAGTGTCTCATATACTTTAGACAGTAGTTTGGGGGGTTTGAGATTATAGAAGTTTAATACCCTTGGTGGCATTTGTATTTCTATTTTATTGAGCTTAAATTTTTGTTTGACTACAGATTTAATTTGGTGATATTCTAAAAAGCTATTCTTATCTATTCCAAATTGGGAGACTATTCGATTAAATGGGATGAAATCCAATCCTTCATATATGTGTTCCAGGTATAGGATTCCTTTATTTTTCCAGTCCGGAAGGTTCATCATTTTATTATTTTGCAAAATATCAGGATTATTCCAGATAGGTGTGCGTCTGCATGGTACTAGTGAAGACTCGGTCATTTTAAGATACTCCCACCATGCTGTCAGAGAGGTGCTGATACTAATACTTTTGAAGCTTTCATGCTTTCTTATTCTTGAGCTAATAAATGGTAAGTCTGAAAGCTCTATCGTATTGCAAAGTGTTTGTTCTATATATAACCAGGACTCGTCTAGTGGGTTATCTTGCAACCATCTTGGTATATATTGCAGCCTGTTGGCTAAGAAATAATAATAACAGTCCTCCTCTGTCTTTGGTCTTCTGAAGCGTTTTTAAGCTAATTCGTGGAGGTTTATAATAATAATAATAATAATACATTTTATTTAAAAGCGCCTTTCAGAACACCCAAGGTCACTTGACAGAAAACACGTAATAAAATACAATAAAACAATAATAAAACCCAAACAAGAAAAAAAAACAGAGAGAAACAGTTCAATAAAATCAGAGGTTGTAGGCAGATTTAAACATATGTGTTTTGAGTTTTGTTTTGAAAAGGGTAAAACTGTCGATGTTTCTGATGTCTGGGGGAAGTGAGTTTCCTGAGACGAGGAGCAGAGCGGCTGAAAGCTCTGCTCCCCATGGTAGCGAGACGGGCAGAAGGAACCGCAAGATGGATGGAAGAAGAAGATCTGAGTGAACGGGATGGGGTGTGAATACTTATAAGGTCTGAGATATATGGAGGAGAGAGGTTGTGGATTGCTTTGAAGGTATGGAGGAGAATTTTGAAGATGGACCTGAATTTAACTGGGAGCCAGTGAAGCTGCTGGAGAACCGAGGTGATGTGGTGAAAGGAAGGTGTTCTGGTGATAATACGGGCTGTTGAATTCTGGACCAGTTGCAGTTTATGAAGGAGTTTGTTGGGGAGACCATAAAGAAGTGAATTGCAATAGTCGATAAGGGAGGTGACAAGGCTGTGGACAAGAATGGCGGCAGTGTGAGGGGTCAGTGAGGGGCGGAGGCGGTTTATGGAACATAGATGGAAGTATGCTGACCAAATTATGTTATTAATGTGAGCTTGAAAAGAAAGTGAGCTGTCGAAAATGACACCCAGACTCTTGACGTGATGGGAGGGGGAGACTATGGCGCTGTCAATAGTTAAAGAAAAGCTGTCAGATTTTGAGATGGTGGATTTAGTGCCAACTAGAAGAAGTTCGGTTTTATTGCCGTTGAGTTTGAGGAAATTAGAGGTGAACCATGATTTGATTTCAGAGAGGCAGAGTGTAAGGGAGGATGGTGGGAGAGTTGAGTTGGGCTTACTGGAAATGTAAAGCTGGGTGTCATCCGCAAAGCAGTGAAACTGGATATTGAATTTGCGGAAGATTTTGCCGATAGGGAGGAGATATACTATGAAGAGGAGGGGCCCCAGGACAGAGCCCTGGGGCACACCTGACTTGACTGGGGAGGGTTCTGAGGTAAAGGATTTTAACTGGATGAACTGAGTGTTTATCCTGCCAAAGGAATTTGGTAATTGAGGAGTCCAGAGATTTAAACCAGTCAGCTGGTGGTTTGTTTGGGATCATCGAGAATAAGTAATTTATTCTGGGTAAGACCATCATTTTAATTGTAGCAACCCTCCCCATGAATGATATCGGTAAGGATTTCCATCTTGCAAGATCATCTTCCACTTTCTTTAAAAGTGGGATGTAGTTTAGTTTGGTTAGATCTGCCAGCTTGGGAGAGACATTAATTCCCAGGTATGTGATATTCCCTGACTCCAATTGTGTATTAAGCAAATTGACAAATGAGAAATGAATTGGTAGAACTGTGGATTTTAACCAGTGGATGGCTGCTTATACTGAGCCAGGATCCTCTGGAGGTTTCTTCCTGTTAAAAGGGAGTTTTACTCTCCAGTGTCGCTAAATGCTTGCTTAGTATGAGGATTGCTGTGAATTGCTGTATGATGCAATTTGCTGGGTTCCTTATATAGGAAACTTTTTTCTGATTGGCTTAATGAACTGACCTGTATTGGAATGTTTACTATGTGAAGTGCCTTGAGACGACTTGTCGTGATTTGGTGCTATATAAATAAACTTGAATTGAATTAAATTGAGGCTGTGCAGTGGCGCAGTGGTTAGAGCTGTTGGGTTGCAGCAAGAAGGTCCTGGCTTCCCAGCCTGGGATCTTTCTGCATGAAGTTTGCATGTTCACCCTGTGTATGTGTGGGTTCTCTCCTGGTACTCCGGCCTCCTCTCACAGTCCAAAAACATGACTGTTAGGTTACCTGGTCTGTCTAAATTGTTCTTAGGTGTGTGTGTGTGTGTGCGTGATTGTTTGTCCTGTGTGTCTCTGAGTTGTCCTGCGATGGACTGGCTCTCTGTCCAGGGTGTACCCCGCCTGACTGCCCATTGACCGCTGGAGATAGGCACCAGCCCCCCCCCCCCCCCCCCCCCCCCCCCCCCCCCCCCCCCCCCCCCCCCACACACACACACACACACACCCCGCCACCCTACGTGGACAAAGCAGGTTCAGACAATGGATGGATGGATGGATGGATGGATGGATGGATGAATTAAATTGTTAGCCTGGCCTACCAGACTTGTCCTTTGTTTAATTCTGCACAGAGAAACAGTCTGGTTACTCACAGGCAGAGAGGCACTTGAGGGGCGGGACTAGGTAGCTCAAAAGTAACCAATCAGAAAAAAGACAGAAATGCCGACTGTATCGCATGACGCTGTAGTTTTTTAGCTGTAGTAAAAAAAAAAAAAGGTGTCTGGCAACAGAGCAAGCATCTTGTATTTTTTTTAGAAGAAAGGCTTTTAGCGCTTCTACTTGTTGTGGTTTTAAAGATATTCAAGTCATTTAGAACAGAAGAAAGAGCCGCAGTGAACTCCGCCGCTGTCTTTGTTGTTTATGAGAAACTGAACGTCGCTGTGTGTGACATCCGTGACGCTGTAGTTTTTTAGCTGTAGTCACAAATGGCGTCTGGCGACAGCGCAAACATCTTTCTTTAGAAGAAAGGCTTTTAGAGCTTCTATCTGTTGTTGTTTTAAAGACGTATCCAAGTCATTTAGAACAGAGGAAAGAGCCGCAGCGAACTCCGCCTCAGTCGCCATGTTTATGACAAACTCGGCGTTATGGTGTGTGACGTACGCTACTCAGCGCTGATTGGCTCGTTTAGAATTCTCATGGGGTGGGTTTATTTGAATAGAATAGTTCCCAGACCCTTTCTCTGTGCAGAATTAAACAGAGGAGGAGTCTGGCAGGCCAGGCTAAGAAATTGTACCAGTCCCAGTCAATCACAAATTTAAAATGCAGTAGCCACAGCTCAACCCACGGGGGCAGCACTAAGACGTTTTAGACCTAGATTCTAGATTTCATCAAGTTACACAAACATGTCAAAAACTGCACTGAAACAGAAAGATTGCAATTTATTCTTTAAATAAATTAAATTAGCTAAATCTTGTTAACTGGTGTTTAACCTCTTTTTCAGGGTTTAAAACATTTTTTTGCCACAATTTCTATGAAGGCACCGTCTGTTTCCTCCCTGCTGAGGACAGCGTGGGACACCCAAGGGACAAGCTCCAGTGTAAATCTGGGTAAATAAAGCTCCTGAGATGTTACTTTAGTGTATATAAGTATATTATTATGTCCTGAGTAATTTGATGATGTTAGGCTGTAGGAATGCTCTTGCCAGAGCTTAAATGGGATACTTTATATTGTCAGGAAGCTAAATTATTGAAGACTGAAAGCCCACTTACTCCCATCTAAAAAGCTCTTGACTAAGTGCCGTGCCTTTTGATATTCTCAGAGCAGGTATTATTTACATAAGGGATCTGAAAGCCATTATTCTATAATATGACAACTTATTTTACATAAAAAGTGATATGAATATGCTCTTAAAAGACCTTTCTAGCTGTAAAAATATAAATAGCTCTAAAAAAATTCAGGGAGGTTTAAAACAGGCTGAATAAATTCGAGTCTAATGAATCATAAGGGTGTGTTACTGCAACAGCGATGATTTAATGATTGTAAAACAAGGTTACGCTGGTATTTCAGGTGCCGCATCTGTCAGCACAAGCTCGAATCAAAGGAAAAGCACAAGGAGATGCCAGAAGAGAAGGAAAAGGCTGGCAAAGGTACCAGTTTGGGTTCATTATTTGAAATGTGCCTTGTTAATCACAAGGAAAAACCTATTTCTCATTCCTTGTTAGGTGCATGTTTCTCTATGTTGACACCGCTAGCATTAAAAATGAGCTTTCTTGTCAGGCGTTAAGGAAAGCAAACAAAAAAAAAAAGAAATGAAATGATCCCAGACTGGCTGTCTTCCTGCTTACAGCTGATTTTATGGGAACATTTGCATTTTTCCAGGGGGAAGATTAAGTACCTGAGCTGGATGGAGTGTAAATAACAAAGTCATTAACTCTATATCAGATTTTGTCTTTTTTATTTATTTTTTCTTTACTTTGTGTTTTTGTTCCTGCAGCACAGCTGAATTCTTAATGAGATTCTTGATGGGGTATTGATGAGAGAACTTTAGAGACACTGCACAACTTCTCATCCTGCCCTGCTGGAGCTTTTCTTTTATTCTAATGGTCCTCATATCTCCAGCATCCTTCCCTGTCTTGATAAGATCACATTCCCTGCCATCCAGTCAGCCTGGACTTGGATAACACCGCCACTCGCTCTCTTCTTTCTCAGCCTGCAAACACAATTTATTACCCACAATGTTCTCAAACCCTTTATAAAACAACTCAAACCTCTGGTAGCAAATGAAACCTAAATGTAGGCTTGTGTGTGCAGCGGATCAGCATGTGTGGAGACTTTAATCTTCATTTCTAATTAGTGTCTTTATGGTAAATTGAGATTTTCTGTTTTGCAGGTTTCCAGAGGGAGAGAGAGAGCGATAGTGTGTGTGCGTGCGTGCGTGCGTGCGTGTGTGTGTGTTTATTGCCTGGATAAATTTGAAAGAGATCTGTTTGTGTGTGTGTGTGTCAGACTCGCAATAATCAGGACTTTTTTCCCCCTGCCAGCACTGTCAGGAGGTTTGCCGTTTGTTTTGTGTTTTGTTTTTGTTTTCTGCTGAGGGAAATCTCAGACAACTGCTAAATCAATGAGCCACGACACACTCCTTCTCTGCAAATGAGCCAGTCTCCTCAGCGAAAGCAAATACTCATTTCTCCTAATGCCGAGCCTACGGTCCACAGTCGGTAGTGTTATGTTTAGATTTTTTTAAGCAAAGCTTTAATCACTGCTTTCCAATTAGAATATTTGTTGTTTTGATGTACCCTCAGTGGGCTTGTTATCGTTCGTTTGCGTTATCACCTCTGTACGCTTATTTTGCAGAATGATGTGGGAGGGGTGGAGGTAATGAATCGTTTTGTTTTGGGGGTATTTTTTGTTTTCCTCTTTGAGACCACATAATTTTCCCTTTGAGGAGCCTGTGATGCAGTCGAAAGCTAATTTGGATATGTGTTGTCACTTTTTTGCAGCTTATTTCACCAACCATCACCCTGGTGACAGGCACTGGCAGTCCCGATGGGCTTGAGCTCTGTGTCTTTGAGGGGTGATTTGAGAGGAGTTGGGGCGAGGGGCAGTTTGTCAAGTGTAGCCAACAAGAATCAGTTTCTGGGACTTCTGTTAGAAATTGCGATCATCTCTTGGTAAGGCAGAAGCAATAAGCTTAATCGTTGCTCCATCAAATGCTGGTCTGAATCAGAAATGGATATTTAAATTGGGATTGAAGGTACAATATGTAGGCAATTTACAGTGAAATAAGTACAAAACATTTTGTCTCAATTGTGTTGGAAGGAAAGTTATATTGCAAAAGATTTCCTTCTTGATCGGCTGGTGGGTTGCCAGTTTTTCAAAATGGCCTAAAAGAGACAAAGTCATTGTTTACAATTTGTGAGCATGCGAGGTTGTCAAGTCTGCGTCAAGTTGGCGCTGCAGTGCCGGCATTTGTAATTAAACACTGGCCACAAACGTTCCTGTAAATTACCAAAGCCAGGTACGGCAGTGAGTCATATGTTATTTCTTGCAACCCTGACAAGCCACAGCATCTTTTTGTTTTGCTCTTATTTTGGTTGAAAATGGCTAAAAGCTAATAATGCTAACAGTGAATTAAAAAATCTTACTAATGCACCTTTAAGTCACAAAAGAAAACCTTGTAGGTGTAATATGTGTCGAGGTTTGGGGGAAAATTATCAATTTTTATCTCATAAGTGAAAGGAAGCTCTCTCTCCTCTCCTCCCCCTTCGCCATGACCGCCGCTGTGCTTTTATTATTTCAACTGAACAGGTGACGCCTCGGCCCTTCACGTGACCAGTCCATACACCATGTGCATGCCGAACCGTAGAGAGAGAACCGTGGGGGTCACGGATCAATGATGATCCGTTGCACTCCTGCTCTCTATGTCACATTGTTGCTCCCCTGTGCCTTGAGTTTTACCTTAAATGTGTCCACCTGCCTCTTGTTACCTGATTACCCATCCCAGTGTGTATATATAAGCCTTGTGAGTTGGTCGGTTCGTACTCGTTGCATGTCAGTTTAAGTTCACATCTGTCTACCCTGCCGTGTCTGCGCTCCTGACCATTAAAGAGGAACCAAATGTCTGTTGCTGTTTTGCCTGGGTTGATTTACCTGCCTGAAGGATCCGCTCTTCCTCCCTCACCTTCCCTCCACACCGTGACACTCTAATATTCTGTACACTTTTGTTTTGGTATCATAAACTGTAATAAGAGGGAAAACAATCATCAGTGCTTCCTTCCATTACTGAAAAGAAAATGTATATCTCTTTTACAGACATGGACATGTTTTACAACAAGTCCATGACTTCAACAATCCGAATCCAACTATTAGTCTGGCTTAAATCTCAGGCTGATGCTTTGGTGTACAACTCTTCTTCTGCTGCCATTCCTGCTTGTTGGTTACTTATTAGAAGCGCCTTCCGTTTAGGACAGGGGTCGGCAACCCACGGCTCTTTCATCCATCAGATACGGCCTGTAAAATAGTGAATATTTAATTAAAGTCTTAGGTGTGTTCTTGCTGTGTCGTATCTCTAATTCCATGCTGTAGTTCTTTTTTAAAACACAGAGCAGTTTTGTTTACCTGTTTTCCCGCTACGTTTCGTTTGCGGCTGCAAGCTTCCTCAGGCTGACGCTGATGGTGGCGTCACTTCCTTCTCCGTTTATCCGTGGGCAGCAGAGGACGTTGTCGTTGTATGTGTTTGTCCTCTTGTTTACGGTCTCTTTCTTCTGTTATCATGTTTGCTCGGTGATATAATGTTCTGATTACTTTAGGTCCATAAACAATAGGACAAACACATACAACATGCTTTAAAGACCTGCAGATACCTGACATGGGCAATAAACAAAGGAAAACAACAAACAACAACAGAAAGGAAAGAAAAGAACAACCAAAGCAAAGAACCAGAAACCCAGAAAGACAACAACCAAAACCAGTGATAACCTTACCATACATTAAAGGCATAACAGAAAAAATAAAAGCAACGATGAAAAAACACAACATAAACACACCAACAAAACCATACACAACAGTTAGAAACAGACTAGTGCACCCAAAAGACAAGATACCAGCTGGACTTAAATGTGGAGTCATTTACGAAATCCCTTGTAAACTTTGCAATAAAACATACATAGGAGAAACCGGACGCCAACTCAACACACGAACAATAGAACATAGAAAGGAGTGCGAGAAAGAGGCAAGTCGAAAACACACAAGAGCAGCAAAAGAAGAAGCAGAAAGCACAATAAAGAAGTCAGCCGTAACAGATCACTGCATAAGAGAACCATATAATGGACTGGGACAACACAAGGATCATAAACATCGAACAACAAAAATACAAAAGATGGATAAAAGAAGCAATCGAGATAAGGAGACGTGGATGTGGGACCATGAACAGGGACGATGGAGTTTACTCGTTGGATCGCGCATGGGATTGCATCGTTGGAGAGGGGAGAGCGGGCAGCAGAGGGCGACAACGTCCTCTAATGCCCACGGATAAACGGAGAAGGAAGTGACACCACCATCAGCCTGACGAAGTTTGCAGCCGCAAACGAAACGTAGTGGGAAAACAGGTAAATAAAACTGCTCTGTGTTTTAAAAAAGAACTGCAGCATCGATTTAATTAAAGTGTTTTATTTTACTGCATTCATTTTTTACCTGTATGCCAATTCTAAATGTAAAGATTGTCGTTTTTTAAAATCTAAACAAAAATGATAAAGACCTGAAATGACAGGTCACCTGCTTGTGCACAATCAAATTTCTCTAGGCGCTTTCTGAGCTCAAGAGGATAGGAGATTCTGGCCTCAGACAGACTCATGGATGTGTTGCAGCATCACCACATTGGAGACAGGAACAAGCGCAATTCAGCTAAATTTTATAATCAGGGAACATTTTCTAAGTGACAAGTCTCTCAGAGACAGGGTTTGGAAAAGACTCGCTTCAGTGAGAGGAATCTTCTTGCCTGCGCCCTGGTTCTGCTGCTGCCTGTGACCAACGCGCTCCAAGCCCCTCTCCACATCTTCACCTCGCTGTGCACCTTACGTGCGTGTTGACAGTGAGCTGCACTGAGCTCAGTGTCCAGCTCAAATGTTCTGATAGGAATCTTTTCTTGATTGATTTAGCTACATCCGCGATGGGCGGAGCAAATAAAATGTCACCACAACGGCACGCATCGATGTTCAAAACGACCAACAGCCTTGAAATTTCAAAATAAACTGTCAAATGCGGAAAATATCCAGTCAATGCGAATCCTGCCATTTAAGTGTTTAGCCTTTTTGTGAAGAGTGTTGCAATGAGAAACAATTAAACTTTATTAACACCAGAACCATGCGCTATGCACCATTATTTCCGTCGCTGTAAATGAGGGGGAAACAACAAATTGATCGGATCCTTTTCTTAACTTTTCAACATTGTTTAATGTAAAGTTTCGTTCTGTACAAAGTTAAATTACAATAGTCAAGCAAGACAGAGCCTGGATTTGTATTCTGAACAGTTTAAACATGTTTGACGCATTGAAAAAATCGGCACCTGCTTAGGCCCGGTAGGCCCACCCACAACGCCGCGGCTGCTGTGGCTCCCAGATGGGCCATTCCCATCTGTACCGGGTCGGCCCGGGCCGGGTAGCATAGGTTGTTTACATATCTGGGTGGCCTGGTATTTTTCCGGGCCAACCAAGGCTCATTCTCAGCCCTCTTCTCGAGGGGGTCTGCTTCAGGCCGACCAGGGCCAACACACCCACTGCTGACAGCAAATTCACACCTTCCATTAGAGCAAGCCTCTGATTGGTGGGTAGAATCTGCCCACATGGGCTTAAGGCAAGGATGTGTGGAATCAACCGGGCCAGGCTGGGGCCGACTGGGGCTACCCGGCCCGGGCCGACCCGGTACAGATGGGAATGGCCCAAGAGTTTTCTTTACAGTATAAAACGGGTGATATGGTTCTTTGATGGGAAAAGGACGCCAACCGCTGGTTTAGTAGAACTGCAGCAGTGGAGGCAGAAAAGGTAACAATCACTATTAACTCTGACTTAAAAAGTAAAAAACCTTACAAATAACCATAGAACAACTAAACAGCACAAGGCCAACAAACTACAGAGAACATCAGCAGCTGAAGTTAAATCCATCGTTAGATTATGTTCCGTGTCAAATTCAAGCTGGAGTTAAATAAAGAATCAATAGGCACTTTCACTTTTTGAAAGTATATTAGCTGCTGCCAGAGAGTGAATGAGCTTTTATCGTGTGAGAAAAAACTAGCTCAGCACAACTTGATTTCTCCTGCCCACGTTCCATTTCACCGCACCAACAAACAGCTGTTTGCAGTCGACTTGAATGGGAACAAGTTCAGGTTTTTCTTTAAACTGTTGATATTAAAACTTCAGATGACATTTCACAGCCTGGACAGAGGAGACCTGAGAAGGGTACATCAGTGATTACATTTTTGCATTTCATTTTAGTTTTGTTAGTAAGATTGATCATTTTCCAAACTGCAAACTATTTCCAAAAGTGTACTTAGATGATGTTTAGGTGCTGGTAATGTTTAGACTCTTGACACCTGTAGTTTTGGTCATATCTGTGTTTCAGACAGCAACAAAGGATGGAATGTGGTCCGTGGTGAATTCATCTCTGTCAATTCAGCCTGCATGAGCTGCTCTTGTCCCCGATGTCCAAAAGGTCTGTCTCCCTCCGCTCACCTTGCTGATGGCACCACAGACCTGATCCTTATCAAGAAGTGTTCCCGCATGAACTTCTTCAGACATCTCTTTCGACACACCAACAAGCAGGACCAGGTAGGGTTGTGCAGATTTAGCTTCATTTTTTAAAAAGCTAAACTACAAGGGTGACGGTGGCACAGGAGTTAAATGCTCGCCCCGTAATAGGAAGGTTGCAGGTTTGAGTCCTGCTCAGTCTGTCGCTGTCGTGTCCTTGGGCAAGACACTGCTTGCCTGGTGGTGATGGTCGGAGGGACCAGAGGAGCCTGTGTACGGCAGACCCACCTCTGGCACTGCGCCCCAGGGCAGATGTGACTACAATGTAGCTCATCATCACCAGGGTGTGAATGTGTGTGTGGATGGGGTGAATGACTGATTGTGTTGTAAAGCTCCTTGGGGGGCTCCAGGACTCTTGAAGGCGCTATATCAAATACAAGCCATTTACCATTTTACAGATTAATCCAGATTGAAAGGACTTGGATTCTGCAGGGATTTGATAAACTTCTTTTTTCATCTCTAAAGAAATATTGAAACCAGTAAAACTGCTGGAGAATGTGTTGTTTAACATCAGCCATTCTCAATCAGTGTCCACATGAATTGATATGGTGTAAAGCTGTAAACATGCAAGCAGAAGGCTAGGTTTCCCCACTTGCTGTGCTTGCAAGTACTCTTGCTGACTCTGCTCAATGCCCTAACCATGGCTCACTTTAGTTCAAACGCCTTACCCTTGGTGCCTTCCCACGTATCATAAATAACATCCAGCCTGATTCAGAAAGGCACTAGTAATCACCGCTGCTGGGATGTGCTGTTTGGGAAAACAGGCCTGTACCAGACTAATGCCCTGCCAGTATCACAACCAAGGAAAGTCCAGTTGTTAGTCATTATTAGCTCAAAACATCTGCAGCAGTGAAAGTGTCAACCCAGCGAGTTTCTGCTAAAATTGGTTTCATTTATCTCCGAGTTCAAAACATTTTCTGGTTACGTTTTGAATCAGTTAGGATCGCTTGCAACTGCAATTTAAAATTTTCTGGCAATAAAATGGAAAAAAGAACATTTCCCATAGCAACTTAGCCTCAGGGAAAACCAACCTGACCAAAAACAAACAAGACACCTCACCACGGTTAGGGAGGTAGGATGTGTCACGTTGTGGGGATGTTTGGGACCCAAACATGCCGATTTACCCAGGATGACTCGAGGCAGAAGTTGGTAAAGTAAAATCCCTTTATTTTGGAAGAACAAAAAATAAATCCAAGGCAGCGAGCCTAAAGTCCAAAAGTCCTGGAGCACAGGACACCCAAAGCTCTCTTAGAGCACCAAAAACCTGGAGACTTAAAAGGCTCAGACAGAGCACGAACAAACGCTGACAGAAATACAAACAATGGACCGACAAGACACTGAGACAAGACAGGGCTTAAATACACTGGGGCATGATGGGAGGATGATGAGCTGCAGGTGTGAGGGGAGAGAACCAGGTGAACGTGATAACTAATCAGGGAGGAGGAGCAGGAGAGGACACCAGACCTAACTGGAAAGGACACACACACACACACACACACACACACACACACACACACACACACACACACACACACACACACACACACACACACACACACACACACACACACACACACACACACACACACACACACACACACACACACACACACACACACACACACACACACACACACACACACACACACACACACACACACACACACACACACAAAACTGGAATGGTAGACCTATGGAAATTATGGTGGGGAGAGTGAAGGAACACAGGACCTGAGAGGGAATATCTGGAGGGCTGAAGACCAGGGGACACAAGAGGAACACAAATGGGCCATTCCCATCTGTACCGGGTCGGCCTGGGCCGGGTAGCGTAGTTTGTTTACATATCTGGGTGGCCTGGTATTTTTCCGGGCCAACCAAGGCTCATTCTCAGCCCTCTTCTCGAGGGGGTCTGCTTCAGGCCGACCAGGGCCAAAACACCCACTGCTGACAGCAAATTCACACCTTCCATTAGAGCAAGCCTCTGATTGGTGGGTAGAATCAGCCCACATGGGCTTAAGACAAGGATGTGTGGAATCAACCGGGCCAGGCTGGGGCCGACTGGGGCTACCCGACCCGGGCCGACAAGGTACAGATGGGAATGGCCCAAAAGAGACACAGACCATGACAGGGTGAGGACTGGGAGGGTAGCTCATCTGTAAGAACCTGGTGGTTGCACTTTTGCTCCTGGGGTTTGGCTGGGCCCGGCTTAAAAAACAGCCACTTCCATGTAGACCCATCACCTTCAGTCAAGGGCAGGGGCCTAGACAAATGGATCCCTAGTGTCCTGTGCTGGCTCTAGGTACTGGGAATGTCACCTCAGTGGTGGTAGTCACATTGTTGAACTTCTCCCAGCTTGGATTCTGGAATCAAACTCTGCCGTTTGGCTGTTTTTGTTGCTCAAGTTGCATCTCAGAAAGGTAGACATGCAAGAATACCAGTTGGGTGAGCAGGACTTTGTATCAAAGCTGGATAAGTATCAGAACCTCAGTCCAACCAAGCAAAGAGAGGCGAGGAGTGAGGAGCCACTAAGCATATTCATGGCCTTGTCAGAAAGCTTTTTAGGCCGAGCGGGCGACGTGAATGCAAAGCAGCCGCAGCCATAAAGTGGCCTGATGTGAAATAAATGGCTGTCACTCCGCTTTGAGGATGAGAGAGGATGAGAAAAGAAGAGGAGGAAGAGAGAGAGAAAAGAACAGGCACACTCAGAGAGATGAAAGGGGATTTTGACAAAGTCATTTCTTTTCATCTCTCTTTCTTTTCCTCTCTTTAGTAAGGTTTACACAGTTTTATGCATCTCTTTTGCATCTGTTGCTGTCAGGAGGTGTTGCTGTGAGATGTGTGGACAGAAACAGGTGGACAAGACCATGCTGGCAGATTTGAGCATGAAAAGTTAAAGAAAAGGCATGAGGAAAATCCTTTCATTTGTTTCCTTTTAACAGTTTGACCATTCGTTTGTGGAGGTCCACCGGGTGAAAAAGTTCCATTTCCAACCTAAAGTCGATTCTCCTGAAGACCAGAGTTATCATCCAGAGAAGACAGCCTGTGGTCCCAAATTTTCTAACCCAAAAATCAGCAACTACAGCACAGCCGTCAGCAGCTGGACCTGCGATGGGGAAATCCTGCATCACGCTGCCATTCAGGTCAGGTAGGTTGAAGCACATTTAAGCATGATACTAGTAACAGTTTAATAGTATTCAAGTTTGTTCAGAAGGGATGTTGGATCGGCTTTTTTCCCCATTTCCCACGTCGTCTAACAACAGCTCAGGCGCTGGCCACGTGGGTGCCATAATTTCCACTTTTTGACCCACCTCGTTAAGAATGACGTTCCAGGAACAACCCCACCCCCCACCCCCCCATTTGACATTGAAAATTTTAATTTTAAGTAACTAGAATCACATCTCCTGTCTTAAAGGACAAGTCACCCCCTACCAGAGTCTTACTCCACTCCCACTTCCTGTTTGAAAAATGCAACAAATTTTGTTGCCTGGCAGACCGAGAGGGCAGAGCCACTAACAAATACACACTCACAGGCTCACAACTACATTGTGACATCATAATGTACCAGCTAACATCATAGTGTACCTCTTAGCCAATAGTGATGGTAGATTTAAATTCAAATGCAATGCAGAGTTTTTACCTGAAGAGGGCGCAACTGTTTTAGGCAGAATATTTAAATTTGAACAAAGATGCACCAAAGTGCCAAATTACTGACTACGTGTGTCTACAGCACGATTAGACACTCATTATATAGTTTATCAGCAAAAAAATAGTTGATTTGGGGGTGAACTTGCTCTTTAAACTTTAAACCTTATCTGTGTAGAATATACAATGCTCAAGTCCGGATAGACAAACAAACAAAAACACCTTGTATTTTGGGTTAAAACAGAAGTAGCAGATGAGTTTGATATATAATATGAGCAAGCTATGTAAAAGGCGTGCCATTGAAAAAATAAAGATCAATAACAATAAATTACAATTTTACATGTTAATGCTGGTATTAGTCGATAATATTGGACATTGCTATTTTACTGGTGGGGATGAGACACACTGAGGAAGTCAATTACATGGAAACCATCGGTTAAACTGAATGTTAAAAGTTTAAAAACAACAAAAAATGATAGAAAATTGTTTTATTTACTTTTGCTGATGGATGGTTTTCTCATAAGAATGTCTTTTTAGATCCTTCAAGCTGAAGTTATCTAATTGGCAGCTAAAGGAGAGAACATTTCAATATTTGAACGCTGGGTGAAAAAAGGGACTTTACCCATAAAGACTGGCTAAATCACTCTCAGCACAGATAAGGACCTGCAAATGGCTTTGTATTAAAGCAGAAGCAGCATAATGGAAGAAGCAGGGAAATTCTCGTGGAGCTCATACAGCTCTTGCATCACCATAGTTAGATATTCACAGTGAAGCCGCTGTGTTTGGGGATATTAAGCTGTAAAGTTAGCTTGAATTGCTCCAGATGTTTTATGTTTAAAGCTTAAACAGAGACAGATTATGTTCTGTTCAACCGGCAGCTTTTTATTCACAGATCAGTGAAGGAAAACCCAGTTACAACTTTTAGTCACTAATTTTATATGCAGTAAAGAATTTATATAAGGGCTTAGAGGATTGCACTGAGATTCGGTGCACACACTGTAGTTTGGCAACATCTACGGTTTTATTGAACCGCTGTGAAATTCTGTTCAGACATTTACGTCCCTTAAAGATTTAATCCTGCAGGCTGTGATGATAACCTGGATTTTTATTTGTTTCATCACCAGCTGAAGAATTTCCTTAGAGCTGCTGAGAACGACATGTTGTTAAAACTTGAGTTATTTTTCCAAATGTAGCTCAGTGCTCACATGAACAGGCCAGAGGTTTTGATGTCATTCAATCCCAAATGCTTACGGAGGTTGTCCAACTAAAAATGCTACAATGGCTTCAAACCCTATATTTGCTTTCATCTAGTGAGTTAGAAGACAACAACATAGTCTCACTGAAGATTATTAGTAATCTTCATCTCTTAACTGATGTTGCTCTTCATACGACTGAAGCGTTGACTTATATATTAATGGATGAATTGTCTGCGCGCAATGACGCCACTACTTCCTGTTTACAGGAGCTGCCATGATCTGTTTTTGGAGCCAGAGTCAGTGCACTATGGGTGTGGGGCTAAAGCTTCCTCCCCGTTCTCCCAAACACAGTAATGGTGAAGCTAAAGTCACCCACTGACAAATTATTAAAACTTAATATAGGAGTAAAAATAAATACTTGAATGAGCAGCAACACAGAAGGGTTTTTGTCAGGGGTGTCCAGCCCTGGTCCTCAAGAGAGCTGCTACTTCTGCTGCAGCCGAACTAAACTCAGAGGCGCACATCTGGTTGTTTTATCGTTTTCGTGGTGCTGCTACGGTCGATACCATCAGCGTTTGGTGTTGCAGCTGTGTTTTTGTGAGGGAAAAAGAAACATCCAGGCGATCCAGAAAAATGTTCAGGCAGCCCATCTTGGTGAATTGGTGCAGGAAAATTCTAATAAATACACCTGAAAACTATTCTTACCTTTAATTTACATCCAAGCATTATTAGAGTAACATATTTTAGTGTTTTGATGGTACGATGTCATTTCCTGTCATGTTTACAATTAACACTGCACATTATACAGATTTGTATACTTCATTGATACTGAGAGCAGTGGTGTATTTGTGGGCGGGCCTAATCAAAAATGGGTGGGGCGGTCTGTTTCATTTCATTGTATGATGACCTGAAAGGACACCCCTCCAAAATAAAATACATTTACATATAATGTTTTTAAGAAAGGCATTTGAGTGGGTGGGCCCTGTTATAAAGAGCCACATCCTTGACTGAGAGACACAATTTCAAACTGTCAGTGTTCATTTAGGTATTTCCAGTAATTGTTGCTATAGAAACAATTATTAATATAGTTTTATTGATCCAAATAAGTGTGAAATGTGAATTTGTAATAATGCTTTACAGTTTCAAGTAGGTCTAGTTAACATTTCCTTTACATAAGTTTTAAATTATTGCATCAGAATATACACATATTTTAGTCAACTAAAATAAGACTTAAAGTAAAACAAATTGGACGACTAAACTGTGACAAAAAAAGAAAGAATTTTTGTCAGAAAACTGAAACTAAATTAAAATTTCTTGTCAAAATAACACTGACCTAAACGTTCGTTTTAAGGGTTTTCAGTTTGCTCACTATAGTTGCAGAGCCTTGGTCTTGTGTCACTAGAATGGTGAACTAATTCAACGACAAATGTTCTTTAAAACATTCACATCGTAGTCACACGTCTGGAACCCTCCTCAACTTAGTTTTCACAGGTCACAAGTCACAAGTGCAGGAAATTTGAGACACCTTTTGGAAATGTCAGTGACAAACTATTTAGAAACAATTCTTGCAATGTCCTAACCCTAACCCAATCTAAATGACCTACAGTAAGTGTCTGAGGTTTAGCAGCAGAATGTCATTACCCCTGCATGTGTCCCCTTTCTGCTCAGGACACCCTTTCACTGTGAACAGTCTTGGTAACTAGATGGAATTAGCCCTCTCATTATTCCACTCCTGTCCACTCTTTAACCCCCCCCCCAACCCAACTATCAGATCTCTACACAGCTGGAGCAGCACACTGCTCAATGCATCATTTATTTCATGCTCCATTGTTCTTTGCCAATGATGCATGGTGCTGTAATGCTGCTAATTTAACGGCCCTCCCCATGTTAAAAGGCTACTCCCCTTTAATTAAAGCAGAAGTCTGTCCATTTATTGCCTCTGCCTTGCCACTAATCGTTCTCGGAGTGGCCCAAGTGGAGTGTAGTTCGCATAATTAATGGTAATAGCTCAGGCGAGCGGAAAAGTAAAAGGGGAACGAGGAAGAGCTTCACCTTTGGTAAGAAGTGAAACTCAAAGCATCAAGATGATGAACGGAAAATAGGAGAGCCATTGCATATATTATATCATGCTACTGACAGCTTCATTTCTGTTTTTAAACGTCATTCACATATTTAATAAAATGTCTGTTTAATGATCACCACGCTTCAGAAACACCAAAGCCTGTCATTTTGAAATCCGAGCATTACATCTGCACACTTTGGTGCTGTCCCACTGCTTTTACGTCCGCCACATGGACAGTAAAGTCTTGCTGAAATGAGCTTAGTCATTAAGTTGATGGTTTGTTATTCAGACTAAATGATGCATTATGTCTGTTTTTCTTCTTCTTTTTTTTTGTCTCTGCAGCGTCCAGCACCAGCTGATCAGGCTGTTTGCTCGTGGAATCGAGGAACAGCAATGAGCAGCAGCTGCGTGTGTCTGAGGACCTTTAGTCCAGTAGATGTCCAGGAGCCAGGCAGGGACTGCTCAGTGGACAGAAACAACAGAAACTAAAAGCACTTTCTAGGAAAATATGAATGTTTGAATCAAGAAAGCTGAAATTGTTAATCTCTAACATGAGATTAGCAGGATATCGTGTTAACACAAGAGATCTTGGTAAAGAAAAAAAAGACTAGGATTCATCAATGTAGCTAAGCTTTAAAAATAATTTTAATGTGAAAACCGTTACATTGTCTCAAATTACTGAGGACATCAAATGTCAGCGATGAGATCGTTGCAAAAATGTTTCTTCGGGCTTGAGTGTGCCTTTTTTCAGATTTCTGTTCTTTTAATTTTGTGTTTTATCTTTTGTAAAATGAAGATTTTTAGGTGTACAGGATCACAAAGAGACCGGGAGTTTTCACGGTCAAATGAAAGTGAGTTGGACTCCCAACAAACCTCAAAAGGTTTCAGACTTCTTTAAAGCTGGATTTCCGTGGTCCACAGTGGAACACACTGTAAAAGAGAAACTGTCTTTTGGGCAGGATAAATAAAATGTATAAGTACACTGATAACTCAAAAAGCAATCTAACCAATCAGATCAAAAGAAAAATATTTCACAAGCAGGTGAAAGCAGATATAAGCCACAGGCACTAATAAAAAGAAGTGAATACCCTGCTAATACAGTAACAGGGCCCTGGTGGCCCATGGGTGATAAGGCAAAGTGGTTGCTAAGTGCTTTGGTGAGCTGCACCTGTGGCTCTGAGCTCTGCTCCTCTCTGGCTAAAAGTCACAGTTTAATCACCAGGAATCAGTCAGAATTATACATTGTTGATGGGATTAAACTCAATATCTGCAGTTAGCCTCAGTTACCTCTTTCAGTTTGGAAGGTCGAGCTGGTCTTGATGTCAACAAAACAAATGAATATGAAAAGAACATAAGATTTAAATTCTGCTTTCTCTACATTAAAACATGCATTCATGATAAAAATGCTTTGGAGTTTATGTGTTTGTGTACAAAGGTAAATGTGTTTTTTACCTTCCAACACTGTTGTGTTTGTCATGAGTCAGCTCTTTCACAACTAGCCTCGACGGCCGTTCTGCAGATGCTTTCTCATCAAAGCAAAGACATTTCCAGCTCACTAGAGATGGTATACACACATGTGCACACACAAACTTACTTCATTATTTATTGTCTGGCAATGGCTACTTTCTGTAGACTGCCGAGGCTCTTGCCTCCGTGTGCTTAGTGATCCACAAAGCACCAGATCCTTTACAGAACTGATTAATGCTGGTTCTGGCCGTGCCCCAGGCACAGAAACCTGGCCACCGGCCAATCAAACATACCCCAACCCTACTGGCTCCTGCAGAACCTCAGTAACCCTCCAGGTTTTAAGGGTATTTTGACTCATCTCATCCTTCACCAATTTGTCTGGCAACCAGGAATAATGTACAATATACAACCTTGTCTAGGATTGTTGCAGCACTCAAACTCCTACAATCTAACATTCACCTGAAAAGGGTGGTTTACCAAGCCTAGAAGGCCATCCTATATTCATTCGTACCGTCTCTTCATGCAGATGGACAGCAGTAGGACCGATCAGAGCAACAAACAATATGACACATTCATTACCACAGCTATCAGTCAACAGGGCAGTCTGTCCTACACCATCAAAGAAGAAGCAAATCCATACGTTTTCTAAATAAACGACTTAAGTACCTTTGTCTGCTCATGCCTCAAATAAAGGCTCAAGTCCAAGTCATCTAAAGTAGATAAAATTTCCATTAGTCATCACACTGGAGGAAATTACAACTCCGCATTTGACCCATCTCCATGGGGAGCTGCAGCAGTGGCTGTGCTCGGGAACTTTTTGGTGGTTTAACCCCCCAATCCAACCCATTAAAGCTGACTGTCAAGCAGGGAGGCGTTGGGACCCATTGTTAAAGTATTTTGTATGACTCAACCATGGATTTGAGCCCAGATCTCCCAATCTCAGGGCAGACACTCATACCACAGGCTACTGAGAAGGTAATGCCAAAGCCATTTCAAATGAGTTCTGTTCCTGAGCAGATGCCATCTTTGTAGTTTTTCTCCATCAAAGCTCTAGTGCTAAACCTGCCCAACAAGCGTAGAGAGCTGTGGAAAAGTAAAATTGTTCGGTCCAATAGACCTGCTGAGGCTACAATGGAGCACGGCTAGAGAAACCTGCAGAGCAAAATGTTTCTGTATGTTAGTAAGTAAATGTTATTTATACGTACAGCAATCCCCACCGACAGAGAATCACAAAGTGCTGTTTGCTACTGCTACGGTTGGTCTAGATTTCTAGACTACTATACAACAGTATCCTACTGGCTAAATGGACAGGTGATTTTTAGTCTCTTTGATTTGTTTTGTTGTTTTGCCAAAAGTTCAACTTAACAAGAAAATATTGCCAGAACTTGCATCAGTATTTGATTTGATCACACGCATTAACATTTTCTAATATTCACTGAAACAGTTTGAGCAACAAAATCTAAATACATCCATTTTCTTTCATTTGGGGGAAAAAAAGGTGATTTCCAATTCTTCAGAATTTTTTGCAAGCTTTCACTGGCTCACATACGCCTCTAACAGCAGCTATGATGAATAATTGATGTTTTCCTTCAGAGTGACTGTCCACAGCTTGTAGACGAAGTAAGTCGGCTTCTTGTTGAAGCATGCACCATATACTTACTCTGGAAAACAAGGCCTTCTGGCTAATGGAGTCATTTAGGGGAGAGCGGTGGGATGTGCACAGTTCTTCTGAGATACCACGCTGAGGAGTGCTGGAGAGGACTAGACGACAAGCAACATTATAGTATGTAATTACTTCAAGCACCATTAGGAACGCATTATCATCCCATGCTTAGCAAAGTCCAGCATGCTCGCTGTGTGCGATTGTGCAGTTTCCTTGCACAAACAGGTCCTATTCAAGTGATTAGCAAGTAATGAGTAGATTGCTCTGACAACAGATTCCCTGTTTGCTAACAATGCACCAGCTGAGGAAATGGCTTGGAACTACAAAGCAGTCTGCTGTATCCCTGCTGGCAGAGGCCAAGGCGGTGCTGTGGACTCAGCAGGAGGGACCCCGATTACATTTTTGACAGTAAAGTTGGACATTATGGTCAGCCTTTGGTGAAGTGACTTTCAAAAGTAATTGGAAGATTTCAGAGCAAGAAAATGTTGGATAAGTAAGGATCAGTCATTTGACCATTCTAACGTTTTAAAGGTGTTGTAAACATCTCATTTAATTTGTATTAAACATGCAGCTACTTTGGAGAAAGTTAGGGTTCAGTAGGGTAATGACCTGTGGTAGATGACATTTCCAATACCAGTTTGAACAAACAGATTAATTCTGATCAAACTGGACCTGTCCAAGCTGAACCAGGAGCTAAGTTTATTCAAAAGACTACAGACTTCTTTTTAACTAATCATCATTCACAAACAGAAAAGTCAAAATATTTTATTAAGTCCTTTTCTACAATTGGAAATTCTCGGTAAATTTACCGGCCCTTCACAGCATGCTCATGTCTTCATTTCACCAGGCCAGCCCAAAAGAACCATTTTCTGGGTCATTTTCTGGACCAACCAAGTACCTGTACTAAGGTATGTACTCGGAAATGGCCTGGTAACTCAGTAGGAAATGACATCAGCATATGTTGCCAAACAACCAGCATTTTTAAAGTGGAAGAATTGCTGGTAAAGCAGAATGGAAGGAAAAAGAAAACCATAATGCTGCTATAAAACGGTTGCCATTAAACTCCCAATGCCCACCACAATGCTTGATGGTTTCCTACAGAGCGCCATTAACAACGGTATTTCATCTGGCCATTAAACGCCACTTTTTATGTCACACAGTCGCTCTCTTGGTCCGCTGACTGGATTAAAATACAACATACTTTGACAGGATGAAGTTTTTGACACACTTAATGTTAATGGATGCCCTTTGGCGTTGATCACTGACATCAATCATTGCTGAAACTGTAGTGATAGGTTGACGTCTAAGCAAAGTCCTGAAAGGTTTGATTTGTATGGAGACACAAAGACTGAAAGGATGTCCATCTGTCCATTATCTTTTGCTTATCCGGAGTTGGGTCGCAGGGGCAACAGTCGGGAAGCGGGGCCAGTAGCCTAAGTCGAGAGGCCCACACTTCCCTCTCCCCAGCCACTTGGGCCAGCTCTGGGGGAACCCCAAGGTGTTTCCTGGCCAGGCAAGAGACAAAGTCCCTCCAACGTGTCCTGGGTCTCCCTTTAGGTCCCCTCCCGGTTGGACATGCCCGGAAAAGATCAAGGACGTCCCTCCCAGAAATGCCCCAGAACTGGTGAAAAAACAGCTAACGCCTCAATGTGATGGAAATGAAACAAGCTTTCTTACATAGGGAGGCTCGGTCTTAGAGAGTAGGAGAAGCTTAGACCTTTGGGTGAGGCAAAAGCAGCTGAAGTGGTTCAGATCTGATCAGGATGCCTCCCTGTTGCCTTCTTTAGGGAGGAAGAAACCATGGGGTGTATCCAGAACTCACTCCTTTCTGGCCTGGGAATTATTGTGTGATCCAAGTATTTAAAAGCTTCATCAGCTTTCATAGAAATGGGAGGAAAATACATCTTTAATCAACAGAATCAACTATAGTGAACAACACATTTTCACTTGTGCCCTTCCATTGAGGTGGGTCGTGGCGTGTCATGACTCAACATTCACTTTTCAGCAGTTAAACACAAGGCAGCAAAAATTCTACCTGGCCAATCATAGACTACCAGGTAAAGAAATGGGCCCATACAAAACGGTCAGTTCATCGATCTACTGTTAGCATTGACTTTTGCATTACAGCCCTGCGTGCACTGCAGTATCGCACTCATCAAACTTTAAAACCGACTTCTATCTGATTCTGAAATTCAAAAGAAGAACGGTTCATGTAGCAGAGTGTTGATTACTTCATCACAGCACTCGCCAACAGCAGCAACAATTTGTCACTCAGCGGTGACCTTCTAAATTGTTTTGCTGCTCTTTCATTTATACAGTTTTTCCTTTTAAGCAATCAAACTCTTACTAATTCATCTTAAATGAGTTCGACTTTATTTGCTTTAATTGCTGTTGTTAAAAAAAGAGGAAATACTGTAAGTCAATATGACATTTATGTGTTTTGGGGTAAAAATCTGAGTGAATTAAAAAATCTCATTAGTATCCTGCCAAGACAGTCTGTTATTTTTACAGCATGCCACTGTTGTAACAAAACAGAATGTTAGCAATGTGTTTTATTAAAGCTCTAAAGCCCCCAGTGTACCCCCCAGTGCACATTTGACTTAAATCTCCTGTGAAGTGAAAGCATTATGTGGTAAATTATATATCACAGCTTTGCTTTGAGAGGATTATTGCAGTTTGAAAGATTAGGAGGAGGTTGGGTGGGTAGCCTTGCTAATTGCTGTATTAATGCTGATTCAAGGGCCTCTCACTGAGTGTTGGCTTTGACTCAAAATTAACATAAGGGGGGAAACAATTTGCTTTAGAGTTTCTTCTTTTTATAATATGGGCTGGTCCTAATTGGTGATGAATGCCTAATTAATATCAAATTCAACCCAGAATTAGTGGTCTAGTGTTATTAGTCATCAGGGAATTCCAAGCTTCTGCTCACGGTGACATTTAAAATCAGCTTTTATTAATATGAAAGCTCTTTTTTCCTACTTTATATCAGCTAATAAACTACTAGAGACTAATATATGTCAATAAACTATGTCAATCGCAATTGCAGGAGTTAAATTATGGAACAGTCTAACAGAAGAGATAAAAGAAAGTAAAAACATAAACCAGTTTAAGTAAAATAAAAACCTAATTTTAAATAAGTATAAGAATGAAGAAAAGAGGGTTAACCCAGAATGGTAAATGTGGCCGGTTATGCTGTTGTGCTTCTTTTTCGGTGTGTTTTGGTTTGTTTGGTTTTTCTTTTTTTCTTCATAACTGGTGAATCTGCAGATTTACACATTTTCTGTTTTCCATATGTTGTTTTTTTTTATATATTTTTTTTTCATATGTTGTTTGTTTAATTTTAGACTGAAAGAAAATTAATGAATGAATAAGAGGTTAAACTTGGGGGTAGGGAAAAATAAGTAAATACTTCTGCCTACTCCTTTTCAAACAAATTATGGAATTATATTTTGTAATGATACATGTGTGAAATGTTTGAAATAAAAATGAGCTGAACTGAACTGAACTGAATATGTATAAATAGTGGGAGAGGACAAGTCCAAGTCCAATCAAGTCTTATGGGGCAAGTGGTCTACAGCTAGTTTTCCAAGAACACTACTCCGTAACTCGGGCCGATGCAGTTCGGCCTGACCATTGTCTCCAACGGCACGGTTCTGTATTTTCCCTCTAAATTCACCCCTATTTTTAATCCCTGTTGCATTGAGGTACCTGGCAAGGCAGATTTGGGCTGGCATCGTGACTCTGGCCACTGATTGCCTATAGGGACAGAGTCACTGGTTGCTCAGGAATTCTCTCACTGCCTGCAGCAATTTCCTGGTTCAGAGTTTGACAAAAAGCCAAAAAAAATAAAATAAAATACTGAGCTAAATGTCCAGCAACGCCACCATTTTTCAACTGAGTTGTGTTTCTGTGGAGCATACAACTTCTGGGCCACTCCTGTTCACTGGTTTCAGTTCTTTAGTGTTGATTTATTATTAATAATAATGATGAAGTCATTGTTTTTGGAACATAGGCGCAACCAAAGTCTCCAGGTCAAAATCAGATTTAGTATCTCACAAAACAAAAAGATGCATTGCAATGTGATACAAAATAGCTCTAACTACTTCAAAAACAATCAATAACAGCTGTGTTACTAAGGTTTGTGCTAGCAGTAGATAGATGAACTGACATTATTTTATAGGGAGCCTAAGTCACTTCTGCATCATGGGTTCCCAGAAGAACAAAAAAATGAATGCGTGTCAATGGGAATAAAAACGCTATTTTCCATTTCTGCTTCTTTCGTGCCATGGATTTTACATATGATGTCTGTGAATTTTAAAAACACGTTTTGAAATCAATAACACACTTATTTTTGAATAGGGGAACGATATTTTAAGTTTTGTGTGAAAATGAGTCCAGAACTACAAATGTGCTCCACGAAAGTGATGTCATCAAACCACACACGAAGAAAACTGAGGGAAAGGGGCTGTAAGTGCAGCAAACTATCCACAGGAGGAAAGAACCACCATAAATCTGGTCATTTGGTAAGTAGCGGCTACTTTAGGGAGAAGAGATTACGTGGTGACGTCACATATGCGACGTACCAATTTCTGGTGTGTAGTCATGCTAATTACAAACTTTTACAAACTAAAAAGTACCTGACTGGCGTGGTCGAAACACCCATCAATACTTTTAATTGAAACTGCAGTACAACATACGTGCAATCCAGGGCGTAAGGCAAAGTGGATTATAAAATTGCTTTTTTAGCCCCTCTTGACTTGCATTCATTTCTTCGTTCTCCACCCATGGTGCAGAAGTGACTTAGGCTCCCTATAGGCCCATTTATTAATGAGATAGTCTATGATTGGCCTGTTTGAATTTTAGCTGATTTTGTTTGGAGACAACAGCTGAGAGGACTGAATCTTTTCCATGACACCCCCCCCCCCCCCCCCCCTCTGGGGATGTGGTGAGAGAGACACCGATGAATAAAAGAAAAGCTCCACAAAGAGACTTTGTTGCGTTTTTAGACCGAGTCTCCCTGCAGGAGGCTTTGCCAAATTTCAAATTCAGTCCTGGATCAAATTTATTGTTTGTCGTTTAGCATTTATTATTAGTTAGTTTTTTGTTCTTAGGAAAGCACAGAGTTCCATCTTTCATGTCTGACCTTCAGCGTATGAGTGCACTGGAGTTGAAATGAGAGGAAAGCTGTGTGAGCGAGACACAGAGTGAGAATTAAGAGGTGGCTAGTGGCTTCTGACTGAGAAGATGGACCATTATAAGCTCATTGATCCAAATCGCTCAAAGGGAACCAAATTCAGATCAATAGAGAGTAGTGTGGTGCCACGGTGTTGTTGTAGCGCTGCCCCACCAGGATCTGCTCCCACAAACACCACCTTCCCACTGCTGACTCAAACAGCCCCAGTCTTTCTCACTTGTACACATTTCTGTTTTTGTTTGGCTCTTGTTAGACAACCTGCTGTGAGAAAAGTGTGACTTTACCAGATTTGGCAGCTTCCGTTATTGGTGTCTCATAACAGCGCCGGATGGAGTTGTCTGCCTTGGCTGCACCTATTTTCTAATCTCACCTCTCAAACTTGAAAGAACAATATGTAACAGAGTACGGGGTGTTGCTGCTGTTGGTGTGCATGAGGAATGGGAGCGAGGTTGCAAAATAAACAAAACTATGTTGGTCTTGATTGGAAGAAGCGGTTGAGGAGGCCTCTGTTGATGGGAATAGTCCTAAAGTAGGTCATTGCATTGTCACAAGGGAAGAAACTAAATGAGCTCTTCTTTTACATTTTTCGTGACTTTGAAAACGTGTGAAAGAGAAAATGGACACATTGAGCAAGTGTGTGAAGGTGAAAGTCAGACAGAGTGTGAATGAGTGTCCAGGGGACACTGTCATCTCCTATTAGGGAGCCCTTTTTGTGGTAAATACACCAAATTGAGAATGACTGTTTGCAGCAGAGAATGTGTTTTTGTGTGTGTGCTGTTTTGACTCACCTTTTGTCTCAGGTGGGATGTGGGAATGAGACAGAAGCTCGCAGAGGTCCGCTGACAAGCAGATGGAGAATAAATCAGTAGTAAAGCACGGAAATGAGAAGAGGGAGACCGAAGGAGAGAAAACAATTTGGTTGCCTCTGTGGAAGACAGGCTGGAAAATCCCTCTCGTCTTTTACTAAAGTAAACCTTGTTGACAGTCAGTCTTATAGTCGCATGGCAAATCTCTTGATGCATCTTTTAAAGAGCAGGTTGGCAGAAGGGGTAGCGAGAGGCAATAGATAACGAACAACGATCACAAAGGCCATTAGTGGCTTTCATTTTCACTTAGACAAAAACTACTCTGAAACACAAACATTTGGCTTTTGGGTGCCTCTTAGCACGTCAAAGAAGGTTTGGATAAAATACACAATGAACCCAAGAATTTGCATTTAATTAAGCAGAAATATACAAGGTTTGAAAAACAGATTGGGTCAGATTAAGGGAAACTTGGTATATTTATGTGCAATAATCTCTCTTTTCTTTAAATCTCAGTTATTTGTGATTTTATCTCTCAACTGGTATATTTTATGAAACTGGTAATGCATCTTTTAATATCTGAGTCATCTAAGTCCTCTAACTGAATTAAGTTAGAAGTTTAAAGTTCCATATAGCTTTATTACCACCCAGTCCACCTCACAGTGCAGATAAAAAGATCTAGCCGGTGTGTAGAATGAAAATAGCCTGAAATACCACAGCATCTGTACAGAGACCTTTGATGTCTGATGTTCTTTAATGAAACATCTCGCTCACTTCAGAGCAGCCTATTAAATCCCACTCATCCAAGGAGGCAGAGAAAGACCGAAGAAGTGAGGCTGAGAAAACCAGAGCAGAGCAGCGCTGACCTTTGTAAGCAAGAGTGGGAGCGAGGAAGTGTGTGTGTGTGTGTGTGTGTGTGTGTGTGTGTGTGTGTGTGTGTGTGTGTGTGTGTGTGTGTGTGTGTGTGTGTGTGTGTGTGTGTGTGTGTGTGTAATAAATGGAGGGAATGAAACATTACTGGTGTCAAGCTAAATATGAAGATCAAGCTAATGGCAGAAAGACTAGCAAAGCCATCAAATAGAAATACCGCACTACATTTCTAGTATTCAATTAAGTATTGAAGTAACTGAGTATTCTCCAAGTCCAACATGGCCATCCGATGCAACAAACTGCTGAGTACTCTCAGTTTGTTTTGCATTAAAGCAGCAGCAGCGATTAGCTTCTGTCAGGGAAGATGTTTCAGTGTTTGAATGCACAAAGCACAAATGTAAGTTAGCTTGTGGTGCTAACCGTAACAAGTCTGGTTCCTGACAACATCAGTTGGCAAATCTTGGTGTTTTTTTAACAAGCATGTTAAACAAGGCTCAGGTAAACGTAAAGTAAACTTTACATAAATAAATGACTTCTAGGTCAACACAGAAGCAGAAAATGTTCCAAGCTTTATTACAAATGTTCCAAAACCTGATAAACCACAGTGCTGCTTGGCTAAAGAGGATAAAAACACACTCAGATGAACATAGGCATATGGGGAAGCATGACTGGCGTTGACATGATTTTACAACTAGATTTTTTTTTTGCAATTGCAATCTGTGTAGCACACCAACATTACTCTTTTTTCAAAGGTCTCTAGAGTAGTGGTGTTGTGTGCACAAAATAAATATCAAGAATTTAACAACCCCAGGAAACATCACAACCCGAGAGCATAGATATTTAGTTGTAACTCGTAAGAGATCGATGTGAAAACTCCTGCTTCTTGAACAAGGAGGTCATTGGTTTAAGCCTGTTTGCTTGACTTGCAAGCTTTAAAATTCTTTAAATCCAAGTTTTATATTTTCTTCCAATGGAGCTTGAGTGCAGTTTGCCTCATCTGTTCTTGGACTCTAGTTCAGTTTATGCTGAAACAGTTTGTGGAGGGTCAATTGAAGGCATTCAGAATCAATATCAACTAGCAGAGCATTCAAAAAGATTCTATGGCATAAAAACTTATAAATACATGATGGTAAACTGGAGAAGTTTAAAAATCTAACAGTAAATCACCAGCTAGTCTGAGTTACCAATTCCTGCTGTTCCCAGGCCAGTCCACAGACGCAATCTCTCTCTGGTGGGGGTCATATTCCTGCACAAACTGCTTCACCTCCAGATTAGTTTTCATCATCATCTCGTGCCATTGATAATCCCAAATCACAGTCACTTTTAAACGGTGCACTGATTAGCATCTGTAGTTTTTCAAGGGTTTTGTCATAAATTTCCCCAAAAGTGATTTTTCTCAGAGGACACATTCCAGACGGTAGGAAGCATTTTGGACAACCGTGAAAAAAAACACCCTAAAAACTCAAACTCGTGTGCGGCTCCTGCAATCACCGCAAATCCATCGAGACAAAACTCTCCTACTTTCCGCTCCCCGGTAGCGTTCTAAGCGTGCTGAATCTACATTTTGACAATGAGATAACCATTCCAACCACACAATACTCGCTGTTGAATATGGTTTTTGTTGAGTACGATAATCAAGAGTA